CAGTCCACCACATGAACAAAAACCACCAACGAATCCAGCTACTGGTTAACTGCAAATTTTTGCTTTACTGATGGTATTACACTGCCAAGGGTTCCCTTGCCTTTGCACGCACACTGCCCTCTTAGAAACACCCTCTGCTCAAACCCAGATTTACAAATACGTGTACAGATATTGTACACATCTGCTTCCACCTGGTGGATTACCAGAGATGGAGAGTGCTGTGTTTTTAAAACAAATGTGTAAACCCACCTCTAAAATTAGTTGCATGACAATTCTGTGGGCAGGTGCAGAAGGGAAGAGCAGTTGGGCTCAGGGTGGGGTGGGGGGAAGTTTGCAAGGAATGGTATAAGAATCACTAAACTTTAACATATTTTGAAATTATATTTTCCCCCTCTTAGAAGACAAACAAAAAAGGGTTTTTTCTTCCATTTTAAAGAGTTCCTCAAAATAGGGGAGGACAGAGCTATTCAATACTGCTCTGGGGTGCTTAACTTGAGTAAATTACTTCAATCAAGTATTCTGTTAAAGAACTTAAGATTCTCTTTCCCCAGTCTCCCCTTCCATAATCAGGCAAAAAAGCAGTTTTTAAATGCACATTAAAATATGTATTACACATATACACTGTATATAAACAAAACTAAATCAGAAAATAATTTATTAATTGCTGGCTGTAACTACAGAAATGAGGGGTTCTTTTAATACTTCACCAAACCAAATGAGAAATGACAGGGAGTATCCTGAGAAACTCTCAGTTGTAAAGTCTTTCAGGTCTGGTTTCTAAAAATTTCCTTGCTATGATAACTGCAAATGCAGCTTTGCAGTAACTTCCAGTTCCATTTTCACATGCATATTTTTAAATACAGCAGATGCCTTTGCCCTGTGTATACAACATCCGGGGTATTTCATTTCTCAGGAAAGCCAACTCTGGAGATCCTAGAGGTGTGGCACATTTCTTTTTTGCTCCAGATACTTCTGACTAGAAGAGAAGGTAAATATTATTCCAGGCTCAATCTGTTTCCCTCTTGCACCCACAGCAGTTTAGTAAGATACAGTAAGCAGGCTATTGCCAGTTACACTTAAGGGGTCATTACATATCAAGGCCTCAGTCTTGCTAATGAACTGATACTAATAGGTCCATTCTATGGAACAGACCCATTAACTTCAACAGTGGTCCCTGAATCAGGAGGTTTGTTTACATCACATGCACAGGTATTTACAAACTTCTGGGCCTTTGTTTTTATTTAGGAGGCTACTGGTGTTTGGTGTGGAGTGCAAATCTTGTCAGACAACTTTCAAGCTACTCTTACTCCATATGGAACCGAAGTGCCTGCAGAGTAAAGCACATTCATGAGAACAGCATTTTCATCTCACATCGACAAACCCCTCAACCAGAAATTCTATACCTACACCGGTACATCGCAGTGCAAGAGGAACAATCATGCATTCCCCATGAGTGTTTTGCACCTCAAAGAGCAGACAAATACAAAGGTACAAAAGATTACTAAATTGCTTCCTCAAGATGTGGGACTAGGTTACCAACTTCAGTCTTCACAGAGCTGAACTGACTTACTCTGGTCTGGAGTAAGACAGACATGATAATGCCTGGCTTTCATTGGGTCATTCACAGTCCTTTTTACCTTTAAATTGCAACAGACATTAAGAACAGAATGCACTGGAGAAATTGCCATTGCCAGCTATTATCAGCTATGATAAGAGATAGCTTATTCAACTGATAGCTATAAGTTCAATCTCCCACCCACTTCACCCTTCCCAAATCTCAATGTCCCTGCATTACAGCTTGAGGACTAGAAGAACAGGTCGGACTTTCTCCCCCTTTGTAGAGATTCTATGTTTGTTGTGGGTTTTGTTCTATTTCCAATAAGAAAAGAGAAGACATGAAAAGTGATTCAAAACCTGAACTCACTTTTCCCTCAGGTTCACTCTCAGAAATGGCCGAAGAATTTTTTTTACTACTTATTTTTCTTTCAAAAACAAATGTGGCCTGAAGCTAAACACCTGACGTAGTTTTTCAGCACAAATGGTTAAAGTTCAGTAGAGCCACATGCAAGAGAAAACAGGGCCCATAACAAAAGCTGCCTAGTGATCTCCAACTGGAAATCCTCCTGGCAGCCCATCTCCTTTCATGAAGAGGAACTTACTAACATTGTCTCTCCATTTTTGTCCCTGATGACTCTTTCACTACACCTGGAAATTAGGAATCTGACTAAGCTCCCTAAGAACTGGTCTGGTCAGTCCCAGTCACCCCTGCTCCAAAACAGTGAAAGCAGACAGTGTAACATCTCAGACGACACTGATGGAACTGGCAGCAAACATTAAGAGTACCTCTTTTTCCTGGAGTCCAGTTGCTGTCACAGACCCTCATTCCAAAAGTCATGAGGTATTTTCAATGCATTTTTGGGGTTGCTGACTTTAAGCCCATGGGATAAACTCCACTAGTGGTAGCTCAAAAGTCAGAAAATGCTTTGGAAAAGAAAGCAGAAAAAAGCTGACATTCTCTCACAATCACTCGAGTACAAGAGCCACAGTCTTAGCACTGCCAGTTTCCCATCTCACTAAGTGTCTTGCAATACTTGTTTTTGTAATCATTTTCCACGCTGTCTACACAAAAAAACTCTCAGAAGCCAGAAGAACTACATTCCTTAAATATGGACCCTTTCCAGACTCACCCCAAACCTTTCTGTGCGTAAGGCCCTACACATACATGAACATGCAGATCATTACAGGCCCAGCAGTTAATTCACCTTCAAGTTGCCCTAATTTTGAGCCCGAACACTTCCTAAACTCCATCCCTGATGCTTTCCTGGCTCTCTGAAGGAAGGTGGGCTGCCTCCTGCTTCCTCATCCATTTCCGGTTGCCAGGACTGCACTGGGGCCTACCCACGCTGCCTCCCCCAAGCCACACCGGTGTGCCCAATGCGTGGCAGGGTGTGATCACAGTAACCCCTACATACACAGCATCTTTCTTTTCAAGAATTTCACAGCCAGTAGCTGCTTGCTTTCCAGTTTTTCCTTTTCAACTCTTTTTTTAAGACATGGACACCTCCTCCCCCTCATTCCTCGTCACCTCCACTCAAAAAGCCTGAGGCTTACTGACCCCATGGTAGGCAGAAAGGTCTTTGGATACGTGGCTGCTGGCTGGTCTGTAACCAGCCTGGGTAAGGTTCAGAGAAGACACAGAGCACATACACTCTTCTAGAAACTTTAAAATTCAAATGCAAATTCTCTGCCCATCACCTTGAGTGTTGTCAGGCAATAAAACGCTAATATGAGAAGTCACAGTAGGAGAAGTCATCGGCTACCTGCCTGGGGTCTGATGACTGCAGGCAAGCCCTTGTGAGGAACGGACACGATCCAGCCACTGATGGCAGTTGCCTCCCACAGCAGATCCTACCCTGTGGACCAGGCCCCACGTTCAGTTCACCCGTTCCTACATCTCTCGGACGTAACAACGTTTGAGGGGCCACTAACGGCCTCCTGAACTCCACAGCAACTACGTCCTCTCATCATCCTCTGGCAACGCTACAGACATAACAAGACTCAACACCACTAACTCCAAGGTACAATGAAAAATAAACAGGTAGTCCCTTCCCAAGCTCAGAGCGTACCTATAGATGTCAGCTCGCAACATATGCATTTATTTTCTTTGTATACTTTACATTCCTCTATGACTAAGTCAAGACAAACCCCACCTAGGAAACTTTTTAAGAAGAAAGTCCTTCCAATTTTTGTACAATGAGCAAATCCTCCAATACCCACTTTGTGTGCTTAGGGTCCTGAAAGCTGCCAGAAACAGTTGAAGGATGGAAGGAGACAGAAGATTTTTGTGATGAATCCCTCTTTTCAGAAAGTTTTAGAAATAACTGTACAATCAAATAGATGCAATGCATCGCTCACATCAGTATGTAAACTCAGAATGGAAACTATGGTTTTTGGTTTTCTACTTATATTTCTTTACATATCTCTACTTATATTTCCTCTTATATTTCTCTTCTTATATTTTGACTGCAAAGGATAAACTGCCTCCTGTAAAACAAAATTACTTTTCATCTTCAAGATATAATTAACATAGGAATTGGTACCTTTGAATCTTTCCAATGCATTTGTATCAAAGACTCAATGGTACAAACACAAGGATGCATACCTGTAAGGTTCCTAACCACACCTCTGCATTAAGAAGATTAGTGAGCAAACTAACAAAAGGGTGTTTACTTTTAGTGCACCCTGATTCTGTATCACTCAGCCCATTTGCAATCTGTAATACTGATATCATTTAACTGGTATTTACTGATATTTTGGAGACAAAGGGACCCATGCTTCTCCATTAATCAGATTTAGTATATGCACAAAAGTCAAAACGAACCAGTCAAGAGACAGAAAAATTAAGCCTCTGGGATGCTACACTACTGTCTCTTGTGTGGTTAATTTTGATGATCTCGTTGAAGCACAGCCTTTAGCAATGTGCTTTTTCATACAAACATCCATAGCTCAGAGACGATTAATCACTATCTATTACTCACCTTCTGGCAACACCCATTCTAAGCTAGGCACCATCCAGACACATCAAGACAGTCCCCGTCTGAAGGTTTTGTGGTAAAAAAGAGCCATTTCTGAGACCCAATCCTGATGGACAGGCATCTACAGACCCCCGTGGCACTCGACATAGCTACTAGGATCTGCCAGAATAAAGCTGTTCACAGGATAACTTTATCACAAATACCATTCTTTCAAAAAGGGACAAGGTATGTATTAAACACATCAGCTATACCTACTTTTCAGTACCTGCCAACTGCTACTGGTGTTATGGTACAAGTAAGCCTTGTGAAAGGATTTTGCTGAAGAAATACAGTGAATCTTCATAGATTTATCGATCAGAGCACCTCACTTGGTTACAGGAAAGTAGTTATTCTGTTCTTCTGTGGCATTAGTAACTTCTCAAACAAAGAAGCCTGATTGAGGCAGACAGTGAGGGGCTTATCAGCTTAGGAAATGGGAAGGATGGTCCAATTAACTGCCAAGCAGTCAGACATAATTCACTCTGACCAGGCCAATGAGAGACAAGTCCCAGAAATGCATGTCCTGTCCATTTATGTAACACCCAAACATTCCCCCCTGCAAAGTCTCCCCCTCTGGAAGTGTTACCTAACTAAGGAGCAAGCCAGCATAGGAAAATCTACCTGTATCAGGCTGCATCCAAACCAGCACCCTCTCTGATTAAGCAACCACCTCAGTGGTACAGGAGACACTGCCAGTCACTAAACTGCTGAACTCGGGCACTAACAGCCATCACCAAGCAGACAGCCAGAAAGCTCTGTGCAAGGTTATCCAGGGTACACACCACTGCGCTGTCTTCTCACATATCAATGAACGGGGTAAGATGTAGAGAGCACAAAAAGGAAAAAAAACCCTGCCTTATAGGGTGTAGATAGGCAGGCTTCATCTCCTTCTTCTGAGTCTCTTCTGCTAGCACAGAAATAGACAGAATGTTACTGAAGTGATATGACAATGTTAAAAACAAACAAATAAAAAACCTAAAGACAAACCATATGTAACAGCTGATTAGGAAAACTGTGAATCCAGTCACACAGCTGCTCTTCATGTCCTCTGCCATGCTTAGTACCCCACCAGTCCAGGGGAAACAGAAGGAGGGCAAAGAGAAAGAAGAAGAGGAGAAATTTCACAAAAAATGCTAGAATGAAAAGAGAAAGTTCTCAGTGAACCACAGTTCTAGCTTGGGATCCATCACCTAGGAGGCAGCAGGCATTTAAAGTGGAGACAGGAGAAAAAAAGAAAGAAAAAAAAAAGCCCACCAAACATTGATTCATAAATACAAAATTCATATGATGTTTATCAAAAGAGTGGAATCTTTATTCTGCAACAAATATGTGCAGGTGGCACCTGATCCATCCTTCGATAAGGCACCTTTTTTTTGTATAATCCTCTTCATTTTTAAGTGCTAGACTTAAGACTGTCATGTTTAGAAATACATGCTTTATGCACTATGAGCAGGAGTGTAAAAAACCCCGGTTGTGTGAAATATTTACGTTACGTATGGCAACATCCTATTTGTCAGCCAGTTACCAGGAGCTAAGGAATCTGTGTGGTACTAGCAAAGTTGCCTTGCAGCAGGGTGTTCTAGCAAGCACGAATCGGACTATATATGGTATGTTTACTGAACGATTAGGCATAAAGATGTTACAGAAGAAACGATGTCTTGTATTAGATGCTGGGCTTCCTGCTGCAAGGAAAACCATCTTGCTCAGAAAGCACTCTGTCACATATTCCTCATACGCTTCTGGCTGCGGGTGCCAGTGAAACCTCTAGAAAACAGGAACAGGTTATGCTGCATGTAATGATTAACTACGTGGAGGATCAGCACTCCAAGCTCCGCCCGCCAGCATTCCCTGTCTCCTCGCAGCTCTTCCTCCCCCGCTACTTTTAGGCTGGGACTGTTCGGCAGGCAACCCTGCAGAGGGTAGGAAGGCACACACACAGGCACATGCTGCGCTGCCTCTGCGACGAGATGACGGGTACGGACAAGTGCAACCTCTATTTCTTAAGAAACAGCTGGCAGCAGGCGAGCCAGCGCTGCAACCCATCCGCCTGCCCCGCGTTCAAACCCAGTCGGCACAGGACTATTTCACAACGGGGAGGAGGGGGGAAAATCCTGAAAGGGCAGAGGGAGGAGGGTGTACTGAAGATGCCTTAAAGCACAGGAGAAGGTTTGTACCTGGCTTCGGTGTCCTGCCTAACCTGTTTTGTGGTATGTTCCGGTTAACTCTCCTTGTGGTCGAGGTTGTTCGATGTTTTTGTTTTTTTGGCAGCCAAAGCCAAGTTGCAGCCCCTTCTTTCCTCTGATTCCTTTCATGCTCCATCACACTCCAGCACAAACACAGGCACACGGGAAGGAGACGCCAGAAAACAAAACATTGAGTTCATCACAGACTGAAACTGGATGCATAGTTTCCTTACTGGAAGGAACTGGATCAACTCACCAGGACCATCGGCCCTCACGTGCCAGACTTCTCACCTTCATTGCTGCTTTTTGACGTTTAGCAACTCCTCAAGAAACCGTCAAAACTATACAAAGTGGTAAGGGGGTGGGAAAACAAAGCAAAAAAAAAAATAACCCTCAAACCACATACGCAGAAGACTGCATGCCACACAAATCTAACCAGAGCACAGTGCAGGAGCAGCAGCAGCCATCACAGCACCAGGACATACCATCATACCACAGCAGATTTATGTCTTCACTGTGTACAGTATTCACAGGTTTAATGGATAGCCCAAAGATCAGAAATATACCTGTTAAGCAATAAAAGCATCAACTCAAAGCTGTGCTGGATGGTTTTTGACAGGTTAAGCGGTTAGTAACCAGCGACAAGAACTTGGTGGTGGCTAAGTAGCCATTTTAAGCAGCAGACATACTAATCGTGGGAGCACAGTAACAAAAGAACCAGGGGCAAAAACATGCTACAAAAATGAGGACCCTGAAGAGCTCAGCAGCACACACATACCCCTCCATCGCGTGTAAAATAAACTTGGAGAAGCCAAGAAAGAAGAAAGATGATTCCACGACCTCCAGAGCACAGCAAATCCCTCAGAGCAATAAGTGCTAGGCATCAGAAACTTCCTGGTTTCCAGGCCGTTGTTTCACATTTTCTGGGGAGTTTTCACGCTGTGGGAAAGACTTCCAAGTACACTAAAAGTAAGCCTGCAACATCCCCTTCCACTCCCACAGCAAGTATGCAGTCCATAAAAGATTAAAGTGTTGGAAACATATGCTTGAACGAAGACTCCTTTTTTTTTTTTAAATCATATCAACAGTTTAGCAGTTGATGCATTTTCTCAAAATATTTTGCCATCCCATTTTTAAGGCAGCAAGGTGGGGGGGGCGGGGAGATAGAGCGAGTGAGCAAGAGCATGCGAGACACACACAGTCTGTAACTTCAACACAGATTTACAGATGTATTTACTACACTGTTTCTCTTTAGAGGCTTTTCAGGCCAGGGCAGCCTTTGTCTCTACGTGCTATATGCTAGCCAGCTCATAACAAATGAGCAATCTCAGCATAAGCTGATCTGGCTCCTTCTCTGAATCTGCTGGGATGCTGAGGCACAAAGATGTGCCTGAAAAACTTCTGTCCGGTTACAAATCTGATCAATCCCTTTGGTCACGCGAGCCCCTGAAGGCTGGTACAATTAATTATTAACTGTGCTGCAGTCACATGAGAGAGAACAAGCTTCCCCTTCCCACCCTCATCCTGTGGGTAACATTATGTGGGCAGTGAATATATGAAGGAACATGGTGAGGCGGGGATGTGTGTGGAAACCTCCACGGAAAGGCTGCAACAGCTGTCTTTTTTAATTATATTTTCTTTTTGGTGGACGAGTTAGGGACATTTCAGGCAAGCCTGACCAATGCCCAGACACGTTCAGGCACCCAAAGGAGGGTGGGGTGGGGAATCCTCATCTCCAATCAGTACCACCTTCATTAAAGAGGGGAAATCAGAGGTTTCCAATTTTCCCCATTTCTTAAACACAATGATGATGGAGCACAAAAAGTATTTTTACTGAAGCACAACTGAGTAATTTCTAAACTGGTGGGCTTGCTTTGAAGATTTCTTATTTGTTGGAGGGGACTCAACAGGTATGAGAGAATAGAGGTAGGGAAAGGAGCCCACTATGTTTCTGAGGAGAAACTCTTGGCATTGAGACAAATGAGACAGGCAGCATGAACTACAACCCTAAGCTGCAATTCAACTGCTGGGACCAGAGCCTCATGCAGCATCCCTGCTATATGTAACTAAGAATAGAGATGGCACTTTCCAAAAGCAGCTTTTCAGGACTGAGAGGGAAATGACAGAGAAATTGCATGCAACCAGAATGGTACCCATTAAGCCCCAACTGTGCATCTGCCTACTCCTCATGCACCTCCCAGTCTGCCAGAAAGCTGGTGTTGCATTATTTTAACTGTGAATCAAAAGTTGCAGATGTGTGTGCACTGTAGAAACCTGGGCTGGGAAATACTAAAGACATGCAGCCTCTTCAGCTTTCCCTGACACATCCTGACCTAGCACAGCAGCCCCTCCTGAAACAGTAAATTGTGCTGACCTTAGAAGGGGGATAAGCGGGGCAGGCAGTGAGAAAAAGTGTCAGGTTTGACATCAGATGATATTTCCTAGACATAATTAAAAATATAAAGCACAGCACATCTTTAAGTGGTTATATCTATACAGTCTCCAGCCCTGTGGCACTTAAGGAAGAAGGGGGAGTGGAGATGTGGTTGATGACATACAATAAAACATAAATGAGCACATACAAAGTGCTACATATATTTTCAGTTAAGTTATAATTGAGTATGTCCTCAACAAAACAACTACATTTGTAATATTATACCATGCATCCATTTTATAAAATATTTCAAAATGTGCTTTTGCCTCGGCCCGCCTACACAAAATAATGAAGAAATATCACTTGTCAGGAACTCCCTAAGAAAAATAAACCTTAAAATAGCACGGTACACTCACTGAGTAACACGTATTTCTGCAAAACTGCTGTTCTTTATGTATTTTGCATCTGAAAACTGCAAGTCTCACACGCGTGCACACAAAAGACAGACAGACTGCTGCTGTGGACAAAATGGTGCCATTTAATACAAAAATCTGGTTTATGCATAGCCTGGCTGTAGTGCATGCTGGTCCCAAGCAGAGTGGGATGCAGCCAGTTATATCGAACAGTTGTGCCCTCAGCAACAAATGGTGCATTCATAAAACTGGAAAAGCCTCTGTCTAGGGGATTGCAGCTCTGCAAAGGAAACAATCGCTTGCTGACATTTTCTGAGGGAGGGTATGGCCAAAAGAGGTTGAGGGGGAGAAGTATGATCTACAGGAAAGCTATGTTCAGAAGAAATACCAAAATATAAGAGAAAAAAACCCAAATCTGCCAGTGAGCTCTCTTTGCACTCTCCTTCCATTAGCTAGTCTCTAACAAAAGAGCAAGGCCACCTGAAAAAGACATGTGCTTGGAAAACACTTGGTCAGTCAAGAGTATAGAAGAAAAAGAAGAAGGAAAGAAAAAAGCTTTCTTGTAGAACTCTGGCCCATGAAGAAGTGACAGACATCACACAGGCTGCAGTACACAAAGCCACATCTGACAGTCAGTTTCTCACAAGTTTCTTATCCTTGCCTTTATTAGCTATGCCACCTCCACACTGGTAACTAAAAGCCAACATCTGGTGCTAGCTAAATGTCAGCACAGACATTTAATAAAAATTTAAAGAGTCTGGGTCTCAACGAGGAAATCATTAGTGCTTTGAATGTAAGACCCTCCATGAGAGCTGAAAGACTGAAACAATCCAGGTTTTTAAACTGTGCAAAGCAGTGACTTTGTTGTGCACTAAGCTACATCTCCAAGCCCCATGCTACCTTGCACGGGGGATGCTCGGTTCACAGTCAGCGGCCTACGTGTAGTCCATCTGGACAGTTTATCTGGTCAGCACTCTGCACTGGGAAGCCCAGACGGGTCTGTGGATGCCCAGGTCTTGCTGCAGGATGGGAGCATGCTATGCAGTCTGCCCTCAGCCTAGGGAGTTCTGTCTCCTGAAGCTGAAATGCTAGGTACCGCAGCTTGCCTCAAACACACCTGCCATCTGCATCTCTGAAACCGAACCTGGCTTGCCCCTAAGATCCATGAGACACCCATACAAGTCAATGCAAAAGTGCTCCTTTTGGAGCTAAGCAGCATGGCTTATTAATGAATACCTGTCACCTGCTCTGTTCTACTGAGCTTAGTAATAAAACAAAAAAAACCCAAATCGTACACTGTAACTAAAGTTCAGTGGGAGAGTCAGTGAAAGTTTCCATAAGAGGTGAAAGAAATTGAGGCCCACCTGCACACTGATAGGAAATAAAAGTCTCCCCAAGCATTCCTGGCTTGCCCTGAGGCTGCAGTGGGGGATGCACCCTGTTTCCTCCCAGCGCTTACGCAGCACAGAGGTCTCATACCTCACCCAATAACAGTTTTCTACCAAGCCCAAAACTCACCATGACACTTTTAGAGCAACGAGACTGTCTTCCCCAGCAAAGGCAAGCCCAGCTAAGGACAGAGGACAGAAATTTTTTGTAATGGTTGTGACAGAAAGAGTCCCTCCATTATATTATCATTAAAAGACTGTGTTCAAAGAGACTTAATAGAGTCTTGCACTGTCTCTTGCACTGAAGCCTTTGCAAAGGAATCTAAAAAAGGGATGCACATAATTCTTCCTACCTCCAGTGCACCTTACAGTCCTTTAAAAGCCTTTTCTGATTCAGAGGGAAACAGGACTGTGGTCCCACAGACTGACAGTAAAAGAGATCAAAAAAAACCCAAACAAACAACAAAAAAGAGGATGAGTGGTTCTTCCAGAGAGAGAGAGAGAGCCATTCCTACACCTCAGTGCTACGAGCAGCAAAAACCTGCAGGTCTACTGGAGTCAAGGAATAAACACTAGGAGCTGCAGTGGTGAGAACTGAGCAATAGCTATTGGGGGACTGGAGAATGAACGGTAATGCCTTTGTTTACCAGCTGTGCACTGTAAATGATTGCTTTTGCAAGAAAGTTTGCGCTGTAGTTGCACAAAGAATTTCAATAAAACTGTTTAAAAAGCCACTTCATTAATGCTGGTTATCAGTTGGAGACATAAAGCAAATACAAAACTGCAAATGCTTTTGCAGAGGCATCAAAGCAATCTAAAAACTGATTTTATTCCTTGGTCAGTTTCCAAGCAAGGCAAAAGTTTACATATACGCTTAACGTTCAGTACATGCTCCCATTAAACCTGCCCTTAGTACTAAGTGAATGTATTTTAGAATTCAAGTGGCACACACGATTTGGTTTCCCTCTACAGGCCTTACAAAGGCTTCTAATAAACACATTATTGACATATTAGGAAACTGTTTGTTTTAAATTTGGAGAAGGTAGCAAAAACACCTGGGAAGTCGTGAGAGAACATCAACAGAGTTAAAAAGGAAATCACATCCCAGCCTCCTGAAATACTTTAATATAAAGCCCTTTGGGAAGTCTGTGAATAAGAGATGAAAAAAGAAGTACTCCATTTGAGAAGTGTCTTTCCTTTGAACACTGAATCACAGAATACAAGTCTCCACATCACCTTGCAAAATAAAAATAAAAAATAAATCCTGCCTGAAATGTGTCACTTTTCACTGCTGTTTACTTTGTTTGTAGTGGTTTGGTAAAATCCCACAAATATTTCAGACCAAAACCACAGTCTGTATTTTATATTTAGATGAACTATGGCATCTTTCAAGAAGCTATAATTGCAAGCCTGCATCTAAAGCTCTCCTTCTGCCTGCCCTGAGACCATGTTGCCACTGCAGGATAAAGAACATGGGCCACCACTGCAACCCTGGTGGTGGCCCTCCTCCATGCACTGGCCCAGCCACCCCACAGCTCAGTTCCAGCAGGATGCGAGAGCTGAGCCTTACACCACCCATGACAAGGGACAGTTTTGTTGAGTAGGATGGGTAATGCCTGTAGTTAAAATTTAAAACGAACAAAAAAGTCTCTTTGTCTTTCTTTTCTTTCCCATCTGATCCAGGTGGATCTAACAGGATGGGATTTGCCTCTTGTGCTGATGTGTCTAGTATCAGCCTGGATTTAAATCAATATAACACGCAGTAAGGAAAGGAGCCTGAAGGTTTCTAACCGGGTGTGTTGAACACCATGACCTCCTCACACCCCCGCCCCACAAATGCTTAACTGCTGAATGAGATTCCTCTCGTT